GCCGCCTCTGCGCATGTCAAAGGGGCAGCTGCCGTAGGGCCCGGGGTCAGCAGGGAGCTGTGGAGCCCGGGGTCAGCTGCCATGGAGCCCGAGGTTAGTGCTGTGCAGAACCTGGGGTCAGCTGGGGACTTCCCACTGGCCCTGGGCCGTACGTGGAATTCCGCATTCCTCCTCTGAAACGTACAAGAGCCCCCGCAGGGGCCGCCTCTGCGCATGTCAAAGGGGCAGCTGCCGTAGGGCCCGGGGTCAGCAGGGAGCTGTGGAGCCCGGGGTCAGCTGCCATGGAGCCCGAGGTTAGTGCTGTGCAGAACCTGGGGTCAGCTGGGGACTTCCCACTGGCCCTGGGCCGTACGTGGAATTCCGCATTCCTCCTCTGAAACGTACAAGAGCCCCCGCAGGGCATTTTAATACCATTACTAGAGAGTGCCGGAGGGCAGGGCAGCATGTACTAAGGGACAGGTCCTGCAAGGCAACTTACGGACTTGGTGAGCTCTGTACTCGCTATGAACTCTGTCTGCAAGATCCTCGTGCTTGTTCTTCCGGAGCGCCTCAATGAACTCCTTCACCCAGCAGCTCCTGCATTTCAGGTGGAAGAAGATCTGCCACATGCCGGACTCGTTGCCTTGCCTGTCGGCCTCGGCTTGGATCTTTTCCTAACAATCAGCAGAGAGAGAACACTGAGGCAAGGGGTGACAAGGTTCACGAGCCACGGCAGGAGGCAGGCAAAGCTCCTGGGGCCCTGTGCAGGCCGAGGGAGAGGAGTTTAGCCAGGTGTCCTCTGGAAGGGCAGCTCAGTGCGAGATGGACGCTCCGGGGAGGCCAGGCTCTGTCAGGAACCGCGGCACCGTGTGGCAGAGTTCTGTGTCGCACACGAGGAGGCAGCCTCGCCTTGGAGCGGCAAGAGGAACTCCAAGGCAGGCTGGTAACACGTTGCTGGGTTTGCGTCAAGGCCCCGGAGGACGACAAGCAGGGATGCACAGGTCAGCAGGCAGGGTGCCCGGGAAGGAGAGAAGACAGTGCAGGACAGCTGGGAGCAGCTACAGCTCCTGTTGCACCCTACCTCCACATCTCTGTGGCAAGGACTGCAGCCAGTGGGAACTCTGGATGCAGAGCAAGTGAAAAATCAAGAGCAAGCCAAGGCTAGAGAGCAGCAGGACTGAAGTTTGGGAAGAGAGGGAGGAGGGAACAGAGTAAGGACAAGGGGGGGAGGAAGGGGCACTATGTTTCCAACCCTGCTGCACCTGCTCCCTTTACCTTTCACCCTCTTAGGATAGGTGGGGGGTGGGGGGAACAGGATCAGAAACTGATGCTCAGTAACCCTCCCGCTAGCCGAAATGGAGCCGTGCCTGCCACGACCATGGTCCCCACACTCTGTAAAGGCCACAGCCGTAACAAATACATTAACCCTCGCAACTCAAGGTTTAAGACAATCATTAGGAGACTTTTCAGGGTGGGGGGGACACCACCCCACCTCTACCCACTGCAGGGCTCTTGCCTCTTCCCCAGAAGTGCCTGGTGCTGCTCGCTGTCAAAGACAAGACCCGGGAGCAGAGGGACTGGATCCTGTCTGGCAATTCCTAGCTTTCCTAATTCCATGGGCTGTTCTTAGACAGCTGGGCATGCTGGCTGGGGATCTGCAACCGTGCGTCAGGGAGAGCCCGTTCCTGGGATGCGGACGGAGGCTCCAGGCTGCAGGAAGCTGTAGTTAGGCAGAGCCTTAACGAGCAGCTTTGGGGGCATGCCCACATGTGCTAGATTTCTCCCTCTTTCTCGCCACACCCAGAGCCCAATCCCAGAATCCGTCACTGGCACCACAATCCACGGGGAGACAGACTCCTTAGAACCAAGTCCGACCAGGACAGGGGCATTTCATGCTGGGGTCGGGCCCAGGTGTGGCATGAGGATCCATTGCTGCTCCAGGGACAGGTTGCTAGGTAACAGGATGCCAACACAGTGACTCCCATCTCCTCCCGCCCCCACAGTTTGGGTAGGTTTTCCTTATCACTTTTTAACATTTAAAAAATAAAAATCAGAGACTGTAAGGATCTCTCCTCGTGTCCCCTCTAGTTACGATTCTGGCATCACTGTGTCCCACTGGCTGCCTGGCTCCCCCTCCTAGGATTGGACTGGGCTTTATGCCTCCCAGTATCCGCCTCTAGTTTGCAGCCATCAATTTCGTATCCAGCAAGAGACGGCCTTCGTTTTGCACGTCACTCTGTGATGAGGGATCTGGCAGTGTGGCCCACTGGTTAGTGTGCCTTCGTGCAGTGTTCCCCCCCCCCCCCCCCACCTGCGAGCCAAGTCACTAGAGAGACTGGATTCTTTAGCTCAAGTTGTAGCAATTCACGCTTTTAGCCCGTTGGCTGTCATGCGAGCATGACAATGCTGGCCAGGAATCTGGAGCCATTTATTTTCTATTTGTTCTTCCCAGCCATTTGTATGTGGGAGATCTAAGCGCTGATCTAGCACCCCGAGCATTATTCAGTTCGGGGCAAAGTTGAGTCACTAGAGAGACTGGATTCTTTAGCTCAAGTTGTAGCAATTCACGCTTTTAGCCCGTTGGCTGTCATGCGAGCATGACAATGCTGGCCAGGAATCTGGAGCCATTTATTTTCTATTTGTTCTTCCCAGCCATTTGTATGTGGGAGATCTAAGCGCTGATCTAGCACCCCGAGCATTATTCAGTTCGGGGCAAAGTTGTTGGGTCCCACGAGGCAGGTTAAAGTTGTGGAGACATAATATATGTTGCTGCCCCCTTCTTCCTCCCCCCCCCCTCAATCCTACCTCTGAACTAGCAAGGCAGGTTCAAACAATACAAGAGAGAGTTACCCTGTCTGCATCAGTGAGACACGGCAGATAACGAAGCAGTTCCAGCACTCGGATGCCTTGGAAGTCGGACATATTTTGCCGTATGTATTCGTAAACCTTGTCCTCGGCAAACCCCATCTTTGCTTAGTACCTAGGAGCAAGAAGATCAGTTTTAGCAAAAAAACTGCACGGCAGTTGTTATTAGCTACTTTTTTTATTGCTGGTTGGGCCCCATTGAGCAAGGCACTGTACAAACCTATGAAAAATAGTTGGCTCCTACCAAAAAGAGCCTACAGTCTCATAATGATGTTGTGAAGGCCAGGTCTTTAACAAGGTTCAAAAAAGGGCTAGATAAATTCATGGGTCCATCAATGGCTATTAGCCAGGATGGGTGGGAATGATGTCAGAGGCAGGGAATGGGTAACAAGGGTGGGAACACTTGATTCCCTGTTCTGTTCATTCCCTCTGGGGGGGGGGGACTTAGTAAAGTCACTGTCGGCAGACAGGATACTGGGCTAGATGGACCTTTGCCCTAACCCAGTATGGCTGTTCTTATGTAATAAAAGTTAGAGCTGCTCAGAAAAATTATATTGAAAAAAATCCTATGAAAAATGAAAAAAATTCCATTACAACTGTGCATCTAACCGCACTTTACACCTCGCCCGTTTCTCTGTAGGATCAATTGTTTGTACTGGGCTTTTGCACAGCAACAGAGACGATTTTAAGAACAGAAGTAGGTGGCATTGTAAAGCCACAAAGTGGGCAGTGGGACTTGGGGATGGATGAAGAACATGACGTTATTTTTTTAAATCGTTTTAGGAAGCTGTGATTTGCATTCAACTCTCAGCGATATTGCAGTGACCTTGATGAAGTCTAATTCAGGTGTAGTTTCAGAGAGCTTGTCTTTACAGTTAGGGTTAGATTTGCTTCAGACTAAATACTGTGACTGCCTGAGCGTTTATAAATTATTCTATTTTAAGTAAGGGATTTCAATCGGTTCAGTATGTTGACTGCATCATGCACTGCAACACTAGCTTTTCTAGGCAACTCGTGCTATGGTAGGAATGTTGTTCCTCAAACTACATAGTACAAGAGCCTATTAAACAGTAAATAAAATAATTATTGCTTGAACTGGGAAGTGATGTGTCATTCTACACAGCAAACACTTTCAGTTTCCTGAGAAAGAGACACAAAGCATGTCCTCAGTGAAACTAACAGATGAAACAGAATGAAGTTTGAGACAGAGTGAACTGATGAAATAAAGTGGAGGAACGAGTTAGTAGCTAGCCAGCAGGATGGGAAGGGACTTGGGTTCTGATCCCTGCTGGGCATAGGCAAGTCACTTAGTCTTATTCTTTATCTGTAAAATGGGCATAATACTATTCCATACGTAATACTTTCCATATGGAAGGATAAAATCCACTAAAGTTTGTGAAGTGCTCAGACTATCACAGTGATGAAGGGCCACAGAACCACTGACTCATACAACACTAGAACTGGAAGGGACCTCAAGAGATCATCAAGTTCAGTCCCCTGCCCTCACGGCAAGACAAAGCACCAACTAGACCAGGCTACTAAACTTTGGAAGCCCGGGGGCCACAGTGATACTCACAGCACATGCTGAGGGCCCCAACATAAGTGTGGTTGCATATACATGCAAATATATATGCAAATATATGCAAATAGCTTATTTCACACTGACAGGCATGAATACAAAGATTAAGGCAAGACTACCCAACACACAGGCCCCATTTAAGTCAGTTCTTAATGCAATATTTACCCGATTTCCACCGATATGAGAGCACTTTTAATGAGCAATGACTGTCCAGGAATTTAACTACTAAAATACATATCAACAGAAGACCATCATATTGACTACTTTTCTGTTTTGGCTCCCACTTGCGGGCCACGTGTAGAGCCCCATGTAAACCCAAACTGCAGGCCGTGTGTTGAGTAGCCCTGCCGTGGGCCGCATGCAGGCTGTGTGTTGAGTAGCCCTGTCCTACAGACTGTTCTTTTACGGAGTATAGTGTGGGCACACTAATTATTGCATTGCACCATTGCCACTCTTGATAGATAGTAGCCTAAACTGCCTTGTCGGGAGTGGAATTCTAGCACTCAGAGGATTAAACACATTGTAAAATCAACTTTGATTTTTAGGGAGATGAAAACAAAGTTTTATAAGCTGTAGTCCCAAAGAGTGGAGGATAGCTAGCACCATGCAAAAGTGAACTCAGAGGCCAAGGAGAACTATTTTCCCCCCCTCCTCCCTGTGACACCCTTTTAGATACCTGAAAACCGCTATCATGTCATAAATGTTGTCAAATTAAGGGTAAAAATATAAGAAAAGCCAAAAAGGAGTTTGTAGAACAGCTAGCCAAAAACTCAAAAAGGAATAGCAAAATGTTTTTTAAATACAGTAAAACTCCAGTAGTCCGGCATCCAACTGTATGGCACTCCCGACAGCCCAGCATCAAAAAGGTGAGGAAAAAGTGAATAAGGAAAAGTCATTTACTTATTCCCACAATATAAGAACTAATGGTCACCAAATGAAATTAACAGGCAGCAGGTTTAAAATGAACATAGCGCTTCACATAGCCCAGAGTCAACCTATGGAACTCCTTGCCAGAGGATGTGGTGAAGACTAGGACTTTAACAGGGTTCAAAAAAGAGCTAAATAAGATTCATGGAGGTTAGGTCCATCAATGGCTATTAGCCAGGATGGGTAGGAATGGTGTTCCTAACCTCAGTTTGTCTGGAAATGGGTGACAGGAGAGCAATAATGTGAGGATTACCTGTTGTGTTCCCTCCCTCCGGGGCATCTGGCATTGGCCACTGTCGGCAGACAGGATACTGGGCTAGATGGATCTTTGGTCTGACCCAGTATGGCCGTTCTTATGTCCCCTCACAGAAGTATCTGGATAGATCGTTGCAAATTGCTGTGCTCACCTCTATTGGCTAAAACCTGGTCTATCTCTTCCAAGCAATGGAAACAAGACCAGTTTCTCTGCCGTCTCTCTACTCTCAGTATCCCAAATTTTAATGAATTTAAAGCCATCTGTTAAGCTTGAGCCATCTCGCACTTTTACCCAGAATTATTTTGTACATATTACTTCCTGAAAAGGGGACGGAGTGGCAGATGTTCCTGGGATCAATCCTCAGTGAGTGATTTTGGTTTGGGGGAGGATCAGAGCCCTAGTTTTCATCTTAGGTGTGTGCACAAGTTGAGGAACCACAATGTTCTGATGTCACACACTCTTTTTTTTTTTTTTAAGTCCATTAATTTATTTTTAGGGGACCCTCTCACAGAAACTCCTTGCTCAATTAGAGGCGATTAGCCTAGGCAGCTATGGCTACCCTGCTATTTCAGTGCATTAGCTGTTCTGCCTGAGCCGGAAATCACACCTGCAGCTCCAGAGCAGACATACTCATAGCAAGAGTACTTGCCCCAAAGCTAAATACATGAGACACAAAAACAAAGTGCTGTGCCCATACTTACAGATGGGGAAATGAAGACTAGAAGCCTCAAGAGTACTTCAGTGATTCAGAAAGTCAGTGGAGGGGAACATAGGGAAGGGCTCCTAAATCAATTACAAATTCTCTCTAAGCAACATGCCCCAGAGGGCCTGGAGGGAGCGGGGGAACCAGGAAATTCAATCTAGCTCTCTTTACCCCCAATCCAGCGCCTTATTCAAAGACCACCTGTCGTGACTCTCATATACACTGCATCACATGGAAATCCACAGAGATGAACAAGAACTGTAAAGTTACAATAAGACAGAAACCTAGCGTAAGTGCTGTGCAGGCTGGCGACTCTGATAAGACTATCGTCAATCTGGGTCAATGCTTGCACTTAAGCCAGGGGTGTCCAAACTTTTTTCAAAGAGGGCCAGATTTGATGAAGTGAACATGCGTGAGGGCCGACCATTTTGCCTGACATTCTTTGAACCATTAAAATTAAATGCAAATTAACTATTTTATGCAAAGTTTATTGCAAACGGCATACTTTTCATTTTGTCACATGGATGACAAATCTAAACAGGTGTTAAATCACTCTGCCTTTCATATCTGAAGGCCAGAGGAAAAAAAAATCCAGGAAGCTGAAATATATGTCAGGAACATTGTAAAGTACATTACATATTATTGGTAATAAAGGTTGTCTGTCAACTTTTAAGTTCAAAAAATATGAACAGGAACATAACACCAAGTATATATGTTGTGTCCAAATATATTTATAACTGATTTAGACCAACTGACATTAACTGAGATTTTACAATGTATTCATCTCAATACATATGGATTCGGGGGGGACCATAAAAGATAGATATTGCCAAATTACCTGTGGGGCCGTATTAAACCGGAACACGGGCCGCAATTGGCCCGCGGGCCGGACTTTGGACATGCCTGACTTAAGCAGTCTAGGGAAATGCAGGAGGAGAACATGGCAGCACACAACCAATTGGTAGTAGTTTCACTTCCTGTTTTGAAACTGCAGAGGAACACAGGGAAGCAAATGGCAAGTGCTCTGAGTGGAATTTGCCAGCGGCTTTTAAGGGATCTCTCTTGTTCACGGGTGGTCTGGAGCACCGTCATGGATCTCTTTAAAAGGATGGCACACGATGCTAAGGGAGTGGTTCGCTACCGACAGACATTTGGCCCATTTGCACCTCCAATGCCAATGCAATGGGCAATGAAGAAGGCAACCTGTCTGCCAGATGCAGGATTGGCTCAGGGACCATTGTGGGATGTGAGGTGACCTGTTGGAAGCAAGGCACCAGTTATTCCCTGCATTCCACAAAAGCTGTAGAGCCTATGGCAGCGAGAGTGGCCATAACCCATGCTAGAAGTGAATTGGTCCCTCACGGTGCCAGAATCAAGGAGACCAGTCCTCTCCTCACTCCGTGTTGTTCCAAGAATGACTTGAATTCCGTGCCCAAGGTGCAAAGTGCACTTTACTTAATTCCCAAACACCATCTTGAGGTTTCCTTAGAGTGCTCCAGGCCAGCCTTGCTCAGCATAACATGATCTGAGGCGATCACGGCTGGAGGCTGTAATGCCACAATAAAATCCTGCACAAAAACCGAAGCATGGACTAAGGATGTTAGATTGCAGATAATCACCTAATCGAGTAGTCGATGGGGGTGGCACTCACTACCCCCACTGCAGCTCTGCAGGTTAAATGTAATAGGTGCTGGCTCCCACCAGGACCGGCTCCTGCTTCCCTCCCTCCCCCCCGTCACTGCCACTGACAGAGAGGCAGCAAGGGGGGGGGAGTAGTTGA